TTGCGTCACGCAGAATGCCAACATTTACTCAAACTCCTGCCACACAATGATCTCACTCCTTTTATTAATTCCCTGACCCTTGAGTGTGGTACAGTGTGAGTTCTGTTTGTGTGTTCATGTCCTAGTCAGTATAAAAAGTATTACCACGCCCATATGCAGTCATAATATGCAAATTAGATGGGTACATTTCCTACATAAACTTTGGTGCATCCTTCTAATATCTCTAATTTACATAAAGCCCATACCTCTTCTCACTTCACTTTTAAGTTATTAAGACATAACTAAAGAGTTATTGATGGATACTTCTAGGTTATAGCTTCATGATTCTTAACCTTTTATGTTATATTTCAAGCACTAACGATAACATTATTGTCCATGTCTATCTGTATAAACATTCACTTGCTTGATTATCGCTCTACTTCCAGGTCAAGACAAATATTATTGCTCATTAAAGTCTATTTTTCTGATCAGAGTGCACGGATTCATTGGACAAAATGAATCCACACCACACAAATGTATTCTGAGTAGGATTTTATATATACACTTTGTTCCTATTACACTGCAGTTTGGAATCACTCAATCAATCAATCAATCAAAGTTTATTTGTAGAGCGCCTTTCATACACAGGGCAACACAAAGCGCTTCACAGTCCACATCACAAATCATCACATAAAACAAACACCAGAATCACAATTAAAACATTAAAATCACACAAAAGATTAAAACACAATTAAAACATTAAAATCACACAAAAGATTAAAACACAATTAAAACATTAAAATCACACAAAAGAATAAAACCATTAAAACTTTCAAAATTACACAAGAAATTTAAAAAAATAAATAAATAAATGACAACAGTGCATTAGAAATGGAGATAAAATCCTTCAGTTGTATGCACAGGCAAACAGAACAGTCTTTAACCTCTGGTGTAAATGTTTTGAGGCTGGAGTTCAATTTGTGAGGATGGGCTGGTCCTTCCCTGAACTCGGCATGGGCCAGGCTGCGTTCACACTGCTGCTGTTTGTGGTCGGATTGTCGAATTGGGAGTATCTGTTCGGGAGTCTCTCTTTGGGCGTCTGCTGTGAGCTTCATCTTGGCCTTTTCTGTTTGTCCTGGATGCACTCGTCACTGGATGTCCGAACTGGCCTCTCCCATTTCTGCTCCGAGCTCTCACAACTCCTCTTTGTGTGAGTTTGATCCACTGAAAAACAGTAGTGGCCTTTGCGTTTAGAGCTGTATATTAAAGAAGAAATATTATGAATTATTTGAGGTCACTGAAATTGATGAGACTGATTAGTTTAAATTCATTACGTTATTTTTTTTTTTCAATATTCAACATTGTCTAAAGCTCTGTGTTAGATTCCCATTGTTTTCCATATTTGATGTTTATCCTTTCTTAACCCTCACCACAGATGCTTTTATGATGGCTTGACTCTTTAGTGGTGTCCCAATGAAGCCGATTTGTATGTTGCAACTGTGAAGCTGTGAAGCCAAACCCCAAAAATGCCCCGCTAACTTTTGAGTTTAACAAAGCTTGTACCTCTGATATAATAGATTTCACGAATCTAACACAATCTAACTTTTTTACCGTTTCATCAATATATTGTGTCGTCCCAAACAACATAACTAACTCAGACTCACAACCCAGAACACCAGTTACAATACCCCCCCCCCATCGAATTTAGTTCGATGTTTATTCTCCATCTGTGTGAGATAATAAAGGATTGATTGATTGATTGATTAAGATGAGATAAACTTTATTGATCTCACAATGGAGAAATGTACATGTCACATTTGGCATAAATAGGATCACTCGGGGTGTTCAAAAAGACCAGACATGTGCAAACAACAGGAAATGTGCAAAATCACTAAGTTATCTTTTAGACACCGACGGCTGATTGACGGCAAATTGATCAAAACAACAACTTTTTTATGAATACTCTTGTAGAAGGGGGCAGCTTAGAATAGGGTTCGGGTTAGGTCTTTGCTTTTTTATTGTAAATGTGCAATTCCTGTGTGATCTGATTTGCTATGCTATGCTAATGGGCCATGCTATATGCAAGGTATCTCAGTTTCTTCTGTATATTTGTATTAAGTTGAACTGTGACAGAGGCTAAAAATACACGCATGTGAAAACCAGTCATAGAACAAACTGTTTTTAGACTGAGGAACAAGTTACATGGGTTTTATTACACAGTTAATTGTATGTAGTTTCAGCATTAGTTACTCCAACTTTAATCAATTGGTAAAGATCTCTTGACTGGTCTCCTGCTGGGATTCATTGCCTTTCAATGCAGTCAAAGATGCACCCATATGTCCCAGCTCACTCCCCTTGTCTGCATTGCACTCTGCCCTCACCGACCACACAAAAAAACTCCCTAAGTAGTCCAGAATGGAAATGCGGTGGAAACAATTCTCTCTTTGGCAATTTGCAAAGCTGCTCCGATATATCTTTATACTGTAATGTACACCTATTCATTATCCTTTTACCAGGGAGGATTGTTCAATAAACATACCACAATGTGTTCTTCAAATCCCTTTCTTACACAACCACGGTTTACTTTCGGTGTATAATTACAAGAAAAGACGGGTTTTAATTGAAGGCATTCTTAATATAATTGTGTTGAGGCACTTTTGTTTGAGAGATCGTGGGAGGAGGTAAACTTTGTCATTGGATTGGTTTATTTCTCATGGAGGGTCTGGGGAGAGGTATGCAGCCCACACAGACGAGCTGACATGGCATCTTAAACAAACAAGTCCAACTGTGGAAATATGGATATTGTCGTCTTATTTTATACAGTAATATATTGCTATGGATGCTATCTCTGGCAAGTTCATGACCCTTTGAATCCTAACTCTGTAAGAAACCTGGGTTTGTCCTCCTCCAGACAGGGCCTTTCTGTGAGGTCTCTTGCTACTGTCATCACTGTGTGGTGGAGTGAATGGACACATACTGGTGCTACGAAAATATTGTAAAGTCTGACCTTGGTCTGTGAATTGCAATACTTAACTAAAGATCACTTAAAGTAGGGATATGTAAGATTATCATGTCAAGTCATCATTAAATGGCCTGTCTCCTGTTCGGCGACCCCGCTCCCATCTCTGTGTGGAGTGAGAGGACAAGTGCCCAAAAAAATAACAATTGTAAACCGCTTTGTGACTCTGGTCTGTGAAAGGGGGTAAATAAATAAAGTAAGTAAGTTATCTTTATTTATAACTTCAACTATTTTGTAAAACTACTTTCAAAACTAGATTTTTATGAACAAAACAACTGTATATAATAGGAAAGGATAGATATGATTAAGTTAAAGTTATGTATGTTTTTATCACCTGAATTTGCCTTTGAATGCTTTGACTGATGTGCCTTTTTTTAATATGTCATTCAGACTGTTCCAAACATGTTCCTCTAATGGAGACACATCGACCTTTGGTGTTTGTTCTAACCTTTCTTTTTTGATAAACATAAATTCCTCTTCGATTGTTGTGAGTCTCTCTAGGTTTTACATCGCTACATCTGGAAGCTCAGTACTAACAGTATTGAATAGATACTGTAGATAGATCCATTTATTCAATACTGTAGATAGATACTTTCAGGTCAAGCGGCAGAAAAACATCCATCCATACAAACAAACAAATACACACAACTATTTTCTTCCCCTTACTCCATTTCTAGTCAGAGCTGCACCCAGTTCACAGAGCACCAGCCCCTCACTGATCCTCCTGCAGGTGGTGAGTCCACAGGAGCTGAGATCTTGCCCAAGGACACAACGACAGCAGTCATCAGTGGGAGTCTTGAAGTTGGTCTTGTGGTGGGCTCGAACCCACGACCTTCAGGCTCTAATGCCAATGTTTAAGCCAATAAATCTGGCCTATTTATCTTGATCTTATTTTAGGAATGTTTCAAAAGTGTCTGGGACCATTTCTGGGTGGAGTGAATCTAAACAATAACAATCTGTACCCATTGTATTGTAACGGAGAAATCAGAATCAGAATCATTTTTATTGCCACGTAAGTAACAGGAGGACTTGGAAATTTACTTTGGCTCGGTGCAAATGTTTGTAAAGCTGACGGAAAAGCACTGATGGAGTGGGTTTAGTCCTCAACTTCCTCCTCTCAGATACATCTACACAACGCCAACATAACTATGGACTTGTTTTCGAAGTATTTTGCTCCAAAAAATGTGTCTCACAAATTAAAATTAAGTATTGCCAACTTGCAATTACAGTTGATTCTGAAACACTTTTATAATCAATCCACCCTGTTTTTTTCTTTCCTGGAACAGTGATAACATTGATTTTGTAGATGTTAGGACCACATTTCAAATATTTAAGCTTATTACAAACATGTGGAAAGCATATTTTGTATTCAACTGTTCACAGAAAATCAACTTATCTGCTTTTAGAGAGAATTGCAGTGAGAGCGTGTGGGATTTATTAAAACAGGCCCTTCATGGTTTGGATGTAACGAAGCTTGCGTTGAAAATGCAGCAAAAGCTAAAATCTAAAATAAATGTTCTTATCTTCTGCATCTGGGCCATAATTTGTATTGTTTTAGTAAAAGTACCCCCTGGCAAATGTCAGGATATGCCCAGGATGATAACACAAATAGTGAATGACATTATGCAGTTTTTCAAAGCATTCCAATTTCATGACACAAACTAAAGATAAATTGCATTTTTGCACTCAGTCCAAACTTCAAATAGAAAATCAAATGTCACTGACTTTAAAACATGAGAAATAGAATAATACTGCTGTCGTAAGAGGTATATATTTGGTGCTATTCTGCAAAGTACACAAGTATGAATCCATCCATCCCAACTCCTCCCTTCTTCCACTTTATCTCCAGTGTGTCTTTGGCCTTGTCCTGGGCCTCCTCCTGCAGGGGACATGGGCATGGTAATATGTATATAACAATATTAAAGCTGGGGTACCTAACTTTTATTCCCTGAATTACTATGTTTCAGATCCGTTTGGAAATAATTTTTTTTTTGTTTTTCAGACGGAGTGTGCTAACTTTGTGCGCCTGCTGCAGCCCTATAACCGCACTCACCTGTTGGCCTGTGGGACCGGGGCCTTCCACCCGACCTGCGCCTTCATCTACGTGGGACACCGCGGAGAGGTGAGGCCAGCTTCATGTTTGTATGTTTCCAAAGATAAACATTTCTGTTAAAAATAAATATTATGGAATATATTTGACCATTTAAAATATTACTTTCCTTTGTATTTCATATTTTAGCATGTGAAGTAATATCTCAGGTAGAAAATATACTGTGAAACGAGTATGAAGGCTGAAAAATACTTTCTACCCGTAACTCCCTATGCTACCAGCAGAGGGAGGAAGAGAAAGTGTCAAAAAAAGAACAAGATTGTTGGTAAAATCTCCAAATTGAGTTTGCACAATATGTCTTGTTTAAGTTGATTTTTTAAGTATTGTGTAGTAAAAAGTTTTAAATTCTTAAGTATTATTTGACATTTTTTACACCATTAAATGATATTCATAGACTTCCTTCCTGTGTTTACAAAGTCCAAAGTACACGGACTGTGAGCTCATTAGGCCTGTTGTGCGTACATCCTCCTTTCTCAAGTGGTGAAGGCTGCTCTCCATATTTGGCTTTACTTCAAACACATGTAGTGCTAATCTAAATAAAAGAATCCCTGTATAATAAATAACACAGAGCACTGCGTACTCATGTGTTGCAGCACGTACAAACAAATGTATTAAATGTAAGGAATCAATCCTTACATTTCACAAACTTTGATACTTTGTTCTTCCTGATACTGAAGACCAGGAGTGTCGGATGCATTAATGTTGGGGGCTGAATAAAAAAATAAATACTAGCTGGAGAGTGGGAAATTCCGTTTGTATAATATGTGTTGTATAAAAGAATATAATTTGCTGGTTCTTTTGCTATTTTTTTTTTTTCCTAACAAAAGTAGTGCAGTTACTGTCTCATTGGACTGAATTTTGTCGACTGATAGGCTAATGATTTAGCTGATGCAGGTTCAAAATAAGTCATTAATACTACCACTATTACTACTATATATCTAAATACTTGGGTTCGAATCTTAGAATAAAAACCGACATGGTTGCTCTGGAAATGTGTCTGCGATGGGGAGAAGTGTGGACCGTTTCAAGAGATACTTAGTTCCTTCAGTTGTCAGACTGTACAACAAACCTGGATGATTCTTCTGCTGCTGGATACCTGAATTTCTCCTATGAGGGATCAATAAAGAATCTGTCTATCTTCATGAGAAAAAAAGGCTTTAAGATGAACATGCCATGGTATCCGTTTTAAAATATTGCCGTTAATTCTGCAAGTTTAACATAATGAAATGGAAAAAAATGAAAATCAGTTCTGGGGTCTTGTGTTTGACAAATAATGATAAATTGATTCTTGAGTAACAGTTTACAGTACATATGGGAAATGGAATGAGGGCATTATTTTGGGAATCAGAGCAGACTGCAAATGCAATACAGTACATTATTATTTGCCTGCATGGGCTTCTCACATATTCATTAGCCAGTGTTGAGATTTCCCAACTCTCCCTGAGGAAACCCAGTGCCACCAACAAATCACTTTACAATACAGAACATGTTTTATTCACATTATATTTCACGCTGCTCTTACACACTTGACGTTTGGAAACAGCCGCTCTACTATTCACAAAAAGGATGAAAAAGGTGACCTAGTTTTCCCACACTTCGTCCCTTTGTTCAGAACCACAAGCCACCGTTCTACTGCTCACCACTGGCTGTATTGGCTGTGGGCTGTGGGCTGTTCTGTCGGCCAGAGCGGGAAGCCCCATAAACCAGGAGTCGGAAACCTCACCGCGGTTCTATTAAACCCAGAAGTGGAGGAAAGATGCATTATTTGAGAAGATACAGTTCACTTTTAGAAAACCCTGTGAAAAGTACGGTCCGACACACGCTACTGCAACAGTGTGGACCTGCACAATCTTCCTGAAGATGTGAGACAGGCCTCCTCTCTGACAATGTTTAAAACCAGGTTAAAAACGGTTCTGTTTAGCTGTGCATACAACTGAGGGATTTTATATTTTTATCTTCCTTTTTAATGTTCTGTGATTATTTATGATTTTAATGCTTTCTTGTTTTGTTCAGCACTTTGAGTTGTCTTGTGTATGAATTGTGCTATACAAATAAACTTGCCTTGCCTTGCAGTGTATAGACGCTGTGGCAATGACGGAGTACAGTAAATATTTGAATTAGACGGCATTTATTTACGTGACTTTTTGGTAACGTTTGAAGTCTGCTTAAATTAGTGAGTAAATATCCTTTAGCAGTACAAATGCAGGACAAACTATAGAGCAGCTAATTAAAACTTCAACAACGTGAGGCAAAAGCTTTTTAAATATGTTTCAGTTGAGGATAGCATCATTCAGATTCAGATTTGATTTATTCAGACATTTTAACATTCATTGCATAATAATAGTTAATGATACACATTATGTCTGAAATGGAAAAGGCAGAAGCTAAAGCTTAATGCGCCTATTCTAATTTACAAAACAAAAAAGCTGCTACTGTTCAGCTCCACAATTTAGTTCTGCTTTAAACAACAAAACATGAAGCTAAATTGATTATTAACAAGTTTCATTATAAAAAGCGAAGTTTAACCATAAACAAAAGCTAAGTTTCATTATTATTAACTAAAGGGAATATTATAACAATATTCAGAATTTAGGGAAGTCGTCCAATTTGTGATGACAAATGTATATAAAAGGTCTTAACTAAATTCATCTAACTAGTTCCTCTCTCTCAAAGCAGTTTGATATCAAGTTTTCTCATGCATGTGTCATTGACCTCTGCCATTTATCTTTAAATCAGCTTTTTGAGACAGAAAAGTTAAAAGCTCTTTGCCCAAAGGCTCAACAAGGGAAAAACAATATACATTAATTTACGCCTTTAGAGCGGATAGTTGTTGGATTCTGTTGCGTGAATATAGACTTTTTTTTTACTTTTGTATTTTATTTTACTATGAACAATTTGAAAATAACAGCTGTTCTCAATGAACCATTTCCATCATTTGGATGTGTGTCTCGCAGTTGCTGTTGATATGCATCCACCATCGCTCCCATACATGGCCCTTGCTGCTGCCTCCATCACTGCTTATACCCCCCACACCCCCTCCAGTCCCGCTGCGCTCCATACGGGACGCCTTGTGAGCCGGGCCGGGCCAAAAACAACCAGCTTCGAGTCGCCCTTAAAGCCTTTCTCTTCATTAGTATTCATCGGCCTTTCAAACGGCTCCAAGTGCAAAACGCCACTGAACTAAAGTGGTTTTGTGAAAGGCCAGCTCACTATACGGTGCCCTATAGATGGGAGAGGGCGGAGCGGGAGTCATTTGTTGCACTAAAATGTCCTGGCAGCGGCCACATTTGTTCAATTAGCCCACCGTTTCTTCCCACAGTGTTTTCATTGTGATGGTAAAATGGATCTCCAGTTTCTAAAATAAACCTAATGTGTTCAGCCTTGATGTGGAAGACAAATGACGACTAATGTTATCTGCTCTGAGCTAATAGTGAAGTTGGATTGGGTTTTCCAGGAGTCGTTTGGTCCAGATAAAATAAGATGCAGTTTGTGTGACCACGGACGGAGCTATTGGGATGTCACGATTTCACATGTGGGAGAGGATTTGATGATTTTTTCACAGTTAGCTTCAACAAATAGAAACAGTGACAATCAATGCTGTAAAAGGACTGAGTATAAGTCAATGCACATGTCATAAAGGCAGTGTGTGAAGAAAGTCTATAATATATACAGTACAATAAAGATGAATTACATACATTATTAGATTTTTTCATGTTTTTTACAATATTTGATTAACTTTGTCAAAACTATCAAGCTTAATTTTCATTGTGATTTGTAAAGTTTGGAAGTGCTCATTGGCTTTTTTCTTCAGCCCTCTCCTTTTGCACAGTATTAACACCGTTCGAATACGTACATAATTTTCCAACAAATACAATAGAATAAATTGAGTGGCTTCAGGTACAGTATATCTCCAGATTTGTGACATTATGTTTACAGGGAAATATTTCTTTGGCTGTGTTCTCCCCCGATGTGCAGACACGTATATATTTCAGTGTTTCATTATATGGTTTTGACTTTTTTTTTCCACGTAATCAATTATTCAATGGTAATAAGTTTATTTCGATTGATGCATGATGGACTTTCTTCAAAAGGACAACACATAAAGGCTTTACTTCAAACACATGTAGTGCTAATCTAAATAAAATAATCCCTGTTTAATAAATAACAGCACGTCTCCAGAAGTTTATAGTGTCCTCTTTAGTACCGTGGGTATGTGCTGTTGACTCCACGTAAGCGGTGTCGATAAAAGTCAAAACCCACTGACGGTGAGACTCCGAGTGAGGGGGCTTCCCATCAAGACAACTCTTTGATTCTCCCTGACTTAAGTCTGAGCGAGAAGTCATCCATGTGTATTATGGATTATGCTGAAGTTAGAGATTTATGTAGATTTATGTTCACTTATTTTGTGCTGTCTGCTCCTCATTCCAAATGTAACTTGTGATGCAACACTGGAATGTCCTTGATGTCAGTCGAACAAAGCATCTCTTAATCCTAATCTTAATCTTTAAAAAGGGGAGCCGGGGAGAGAGCAGGGGACAAGGCACACCTTGAGGACAGACATCATCCAAAACCAAAAAAACCCCTGACATTTCTACGTCAAATAACATAATTGATTTTTTTTTTCTTTTTCGTTTTTTTTGATGAAATTGTACCCTGAACAACCATGATTATCGATTCATACAGTCATAAAGTCATATTCCTACTGTATCTGAACAGCGCATGACAACATGGAACCTCCCCCTGGTCTAAAAGTGTCTCTTAATCTGGGCCTCCGCACTCGCAGCCTCGGGGGCCGCTCGTGGGTGGGATAACCTCTGCTCTGGAGGCGTTTCATCTCCCTGGGGTTTGTGTTCACGTGTGGTGGACATGTTGTGATCTCGCTGTCATCACCACTCGAGGACAAAAAAGATAAGAAAGAAACATTTGTTACAGTGAACATGATCAGTTTTGAAAATGTAATTCGTCAGAGAAACACGGACACGAGACGCTCCTTCAGCCGGTCAAATATAACT